GAAGACCAACAGCAAAGCCTTCTGTTGACTGTTTCATTTCTGAGCACTGGAGGCAGCCAGGGGCGCTTGAGATGTCTGTTGGCAGGGTTCCTGGGTGGCCTTACCCTCCTCCTCTCTGGTAGATAGAAAGCTGTGCCTACAGTCAACTACATCGGGATGCAGTGAGGGAAAAAAGGTGTGGGGGAAATGAATAAGGAGAAGAAAACAGTGGAAGAGAGTTGGGGGAATGAGGGCATGTGACCAAAGGACAACTTTTCCCTTTGTCTAAAAGGTCTTCTAACTAAATCCAGCAAAAGTAAATAGACTAATGAGGCAACATCGCCACCTGGTGGCAGATGAGGACATATGCTTTTAGAAAGGAACTGAAATGTTGGGCTAATGCAGTGATCAGCTTCAGATGCAACACCCACGGCTTTCCCCCTTCCTTGTTGAGGCAGACCAGCCCCAGCAGGAAGCTGTACTGTCTGTGAACTCCAGACCAAGTGGGTACCCTTTGCTCAGCATTAGTTAACAGGGTCTAGAGGTTTGGGCTGAACAGCAACACAGGAGCCATACCTGTTGATCCACATGGGGGGTAGGCGGGGTCCTCCAGGCTACAGGACTTCACAGAACAGATGGCTTTTCAAGGCTCTGGTAGAGAAGCCTCAGAGCCAGCCCTGTTTATAGCCAGCAGTCACCCGCCACTCCAGGTATAGGGGTAGGGCTCTTGTAGGCAGGGCCTCTCAGTTACTACTGCCTACATATGACACTCCCTTCCCAAACTAACCCAGTCACCTGCCTCACAAGAGATTCAGTTAAAAAAAGAAGGAAAAAAAAAGCAAGCCATCGTCTGCTGCTCAGAGGAGCCGGATGAGTAGGGAGGGTGTTTTAAAATATCGGGCTTAGTAATCATGGGGGCTATTATCTTATTGATCAAGGTCCAGCCATTTGCCAAGGTATATACACATTTTATTTAAAAAAGTTTACAGTTTTCATTATACACAACTATTAAGAGGTTATAGTCAGAGGAGGCATTTGTCCTGTTGACAGAAGTGCCCACTAGATCATCACAATGCAAGGAAAAAGGTGGAAGGGAGGAGAGGGGGCAAGGAAAAAATGTGATAAAAAGCTTAGATTTCAATTAAGGGCTGGTAAGTCCCTTTTATCTCTTCAAGTATCACACAATATGTACCAAATACAATCAGTAAATATAGGCCATTTCTTCCCAAGCCCACAGCCAAGATGAATATTTGCTGAATTAAGAGTCCTGGCCCTTCCTCAGGTGAGTGGAGAAACTGCATACCTGGGGGTTTACTCTCCCTTTCCCCCCAAGGGGCCTCCACTCCATTCAGTCCCTAATGGAATCACCAAGGTGTTCAGTGGCCAGAGAAAATATGAACATGGATTCAGAAGTCCAAAGAAATGCAGGTCTTTGAGCTCAATCAGAAATGATTTCAGTCAACAAGGCTGTGAACCCAGTCAGGAAGTTGGTGAGATGAATAAAACTCTAACTTTTGTTAATGGCTTTCACTTTTCTAATTGAGTCCCTAGAACACAGAAGGGTCACATGCCGTTTAAAGTCAAACACTAGTTCCCAGAAAGTGGGTATCTAACAACTTCACCATGGGGGCTAGCAGAGGATCTGTCTTTCATGATTCTCAGCCATCCCAATAGGAGGCCTAATAAAAAGCAAGTGTTAGGCCAAGGCCAACTAGGGCTTCAGGGAGCCTTGTGAGGGAAAAAATTCCTTCGAGGGGAGACACTCTTCTGGAGCTTAGATCAGCCAGTTGGCAATTAGAACAGCTTTTGGAGTGGAAGAAAAACGTTAGGTACTGGAGAGATATATGGCAACTTCTGATAATTATCTCACTAGTATTAAAACGCTGGTTGAAACTGCACAGCAACCTCAAGGAGCGCGATGCGACTGAAGACAAAAGAGCAAACACGCCAGTGTCTAGGTTGGCTACCTTAAAACGCAACCCACAAGGCCCCAGTGCTGGGGCGGCTGGAGGGTAGCGGATTGCAGGCTGCTGTGGTGCAGCCATCTTGCTTGTTGGTGTTTGGCGAGAGCTGGAGCTCAGTCATTTGAACAGGGGCAAAGAATGGCTTGCGCTGGTAAACCACAAGGCAGAATTTCAAAAATGATGGGTACTAAAGAAGGGAAGGGAAGGGAAGGGAAACTGCCAGAAGCAGCTCTGACCTACCGCCACCACCTTTAAAAGCAATAATGTGCAGCCTTTCTGAGGGGCTCTGAATGCTTCTCTGAGTGTTATGATGGGACAACGTGGAAAAGCTTTTGGTGTCATATCACCCCCTGCTCCAGACTCACTCTACCATCTACTACTGGGGGCCCAGAGTCCTCAGAATCACAGCCAGGCCCTCTTCCAGCTTCCTCTCCTACTCCTACCTCTCCCAGGCACAGGGAAGGGACAAAAAGTTAGTGTAAGAAGGGATTCTGTTCAACATATCAAAAGTCAATTTCCAAGTGGAGAGGAAAAGCTCCACACAGAGCCAAAAACATGCATGGGATCAAGGTTAGTGCCCAAAAAGGATAGACTTGCACAGAATGAGAGGGTACAGTGTGATCTGGGCAGCAATTTCCAGGAGTTTCCAGTGCTAGCAGAGAAGCCTAGTTACACCTCTTTCACACAGACTTGGATGGGCGTGCACACACGTGCATACACACTGTAGCCATACTCAGATCTGCTTCTTAACCCCTGCAACCTCCAACAAATCTTCATTTGGAAATTCTGCACCACCAGATTCCTAGTGCTGGAGTTCTCGATCACAGGCAAGCTGATGTCTTTTGGTTAGAGAAACATGGATTTAGTCAGGGAGCAGAGCTGTGGCACTGCTCATATACCTTCCCTAAACTTGGTTCTACTAGTTTTTTGTTGTTGTTGTTGTTTTTTGACAAGATTAAAAGCAATCATTATCTGGACATTATTTTTTTTGAAAGGTAATTAGAACACTATTGTTTATACAATATTGAAAAAATACATTTTTTTTATTGTTTGAACTCAAATCACCACCCAGCACTTTAAGCCTACCCTAAGTCGCACCTACAAATAACGGTTATTAGCACAAGCAAACTGCTAATTCAGCAGGTAAGCAAGTTAGACAGTGCCAGCAGAGACCCTCCCTCCCCCAAAGTAATGAGAAGACAACGTGCTAGATAAGAGTTAAAGTACTCCATTACATGTTAAATAGTTAATACTACCCTTCCAACAAGCCACAAATGCTAGATAGATAACTCAGTACGGTTAACTAACCACAGCCCTACATAACTGCACTTTTAATTTTTTTTTTTTAAAAAAGAAAACCTTTTGCTTCATGCCCGTAATTAACATAAAATAAGTAAATTCTTTGTTTTTTATTTAGGAAAATAATCATGCTAAAAACAAGTTGTACTTTATATAGATTTTCAAAGAAAAGATTGTGCTTTTTGAATAAAAAAGATAGGGTATCTTCAATCTCATTGACTCAAATTTTGTGGAATATAGCACTTATAAACTAAAAACACACAGAGAGAAGGATTAAATTATCCCAGTAGGACATTCAAAAATCATCTCGAGAAGATTTCAGGATTGGCTAATTTTGCTATTGTCCTACTGGTTGTGTCAACCCACCCCCACCCCCACCCCCCCACCAGCTAATGTCTGAAGTTCTCCAAATTCAGCAGGCAACACTCAGATCTGAAAGAAACTCTGCCAGCAACCTGGACATATGGTTAGCTGAGTAAACATTTGATTAGCAGGCATTTAAACGGATTTCCTCTTAACATATACAGGAGAGAAAATTCTCTTCCTTCAAAACCTGTTCTACATCATGTTTCTGAATCCTTTCCTCCTATTCAGTCTCTCTCTGGAAAAAAAAAAAAAAGCTGTTTGTTTTTCCCACGTAGAGTCACTTTGGGTACAAGAACCTTTATTTGTTCCAATTATTACTCATTTTAAATTGAGAATGTGAGTTGGGTCTAAAACAGTTAGGTCTATTTCCCACTCCCATGAGCAGATGATGACCAGGCTGCTGCCAAGAGCAGCAGCAGAGGGGAAAACAAGATCAAAGCCCGAATGAGAGAACCCAGGAGTCACAGCCCCCAGAGGCTCTTCTTCCCAAGTCTAATGGTCCACTGAGTGGCTGTCCGAGGAGGAGGCCATCTCTTGGTAGGTGAAGATTCAATTTGCAACCTAAGCACAATGCACACGCACCAAAAAGAAGAAAAAAAAAACCAAACCCCACAACCATCCTCAAATATAAAGCTCTGAGTCCAGGGTAGCGGTCTCACAGCAGCCAACAATAGGATGAGGATGTGACTCTGCACGTGTTGGATGAGAGGAAACATCTTCCCAGTCACTTTTCTCCTCCTGTCCTGTCCTCTCAAAAAACAGGTCTGGATTACAAATTCTACCCCCAAGAAAAAGAATCAGATTCAGAAAACATTTCCAGAAGGTTCTCCAAAGCAAAACACTTGTGGCTGCAGGGCCTGGTAGCGAGAAGGGCAGGAATATACATATAAAAATGTACTTAAAATCCAAGTCAAAAAAATTGTTTTAAGTTTCAATACTCCAATTAGCTCGCTGTTTTATACTGTTACTCCACAGAAATGGGGCCACCTAGGATGCACAGGAAGAAGCAGCTCTGATTCTGACATGGCTGTGGCTCTCAAAGCTCCCAAGCAGGGCTTTTCCTCCCCAATTTTTTCCTTTCCAGTTTCAAAAAGTACTATTCTATCTTCACATCCAAGAGCTGGTTGGTTTGGTTTGTTTCTTTGGAACCATCAATAAAAGAAGCAACTTTTTCCTGTTATTTTTACTCATGTCTATCTATCAGAGCGGCTGTTTCTTTTGACAGTTCAGTAGCACACAGGCTGACTTGGCTAAATGGACTTATGAATGCATGCATTCGGACCGCATATTGCTACCAAAATGGAATGTGGGAATATGCTATGCACCTCAGGTTGAGAAATGACCAAGAAATCAAGATCTAAAGGGTGATATATAATATATATATATCAATGCTATTATTCATAAAAACCTTGTTTAGTAATAAAAAAAATTGCTTTGTTTAAATATGAATATTATAGTCTGCTTCTCATGGTTAGGAAATAATAGTCTTTCTGAAAAGCAGGTGCTTTTTCTACTACAACTCCATATCCTGGGCCTCATCTTCCGAAAAGTCAGACATAGAACTCTCCGATGAGCTGTCTCCGGTGCCCTCTTCCTGTTCTTTCAGTGCCTCCTCTGTTGCATATTTCTGGATGTACTCTGCACAGGGGGTTGGGATAAAGAAAACACAAGGATAGTGAGCAGGCAGGCATGTGCTTCAGTGACCCCACAGCTGGCAAGTCCCAGGGAGGTTCAAGCTTTCCCTATTAGGTTTGGGAAGTAGGGAACAGACAATGACAGAGATGACAGTTATTAAAGTCACTAAAGCTAAGGGAAAAATTGTGCAGGGAGGTGTCTTTGGAGTTTATGCATTTCACCCCCTTAGTAAGAGAGGCAAATCTGAACACTTGATTTGCAGGGGAACAGATACACTGCACCGCCATGCTAGATCTTCTTTGGGCCATTACCTCCCACGTGGATGTGTACAAGACAGCCGACCACCCTGGGCCTCGCCTGCAAGGCTCAGAAAGGTCGACAGACATCCAGGACAGTGTCTGGGGTTAACCAGGCCCCAGTTTTCCAGCCAGGGCACTCTCACTCTCTCCTTGTTGCCTACTGATATGGCTGCACTCCTCCAAACTTGATGGACTGGGGAAATGTAAACCTCACATTTTCTTTTACTTTCTATGTTAATAAAACTATTCACCCCCCAGATAGAACAAGACTAGTTATGATTCCATAGTAATTTATAAGGAAATCCCCCATCATTTTTAGATTTGCAGTTATAATTACAGTCAGCCCAAATCTGTTATTTTAGAAATAGATTTTAGTCTAAACAGATCCTGCCTGTCAGGTTTTTGAAGCAGCTGGTGAAGACAGTCTCTCAATCTGCTCAGGAATGAGCTGCTACCTGGGGACACAGCTAGCCTGAGTGACTTTACCACCTATTAATTTATTTACCTGAAGATTTATGATGCTATAGCCTAGGCTGTATCTGCTAGCTGAAAAAAATGTTAAGAACTGCTGAATACACAATTAAACGTTTTCCTAAAACTCTAGGTGCAGATGGTTTTTCAAGTAAGTAGCCTACACACAATATGAAAAGACAGGACAGAATCCTATCCAGAAAAACACATCCTCACGTCCAAATGCTTTGTTTTTCCTCCTATGGAGTTGCAGGGACTAGAAGAGAAGGTATATGGGCCAAGTCTGAATGATGCAGTGCAGGGCCAGCTAAGATTATTTTCTATATTTTCAAAGGGCTGTTAAAAAGGAAGAAAGAAAGAAAGAATGAGTATGTGACAGAGACCATATGTGGCCAAATCTGGGCCTTTACAGAAAAAGTTTGCAGGCTTCTGACTTACACCCCTACAGATTCATTGGAGCAAAATTTTATGCTGAGATAATGAGATTTCAAAAGCCCCTGGCTAGGTAGGAACTTGCCTTCATTTTTTTGAGAGTGAGAGAAATGTTTACTAAAGTCTTAGAAATTGTATTTTTATTCTCTATTGGGTTGGCTACTTTTTCTTCCTTTGTAGAAAGAAGTTGCTGCACTTTGGCTCTTGGACACTGTAAGTCGACACTATCAGCCTTCTTCACTATATTCAAGGAGACCAATGTGTATTAAGTGCTTACTGGGACAAGGCCTTTCAGGAGATAGAAAAATGAAGAGCAAGGTCACTAATGAGCAGGAAACACAGAAAGATAAAAGCAGTTAGGGGCTTAAGTGCCATCAATGGGAAGCAGGAGGAAGGGACTGTGGCCCGAGAGCCAGGAAGGCAGTATCTGCACTGACCCTTGAAGCAGCTCTGGCAGCTGCAGCATAGGAGACGCCACTCCAGGGGAAAGGCATAGACAGCCTCGCCAAAGCACATGGGAGAAGGAAGTGGCTGGGATATTAAAACACATTAAGAGAGAACTACATTTGTTTTCTTTCTTTTAAAAAATCTGAAGCAAGTAAGGCAAAATGTACAGGTTTTGCTACAGTTGGATAGTAGGTACTAGTTAAGTCACTCTGTTTTTCTGTATGGTTGAAAACTCTCCCTGAAGAACTAAGGAAGCAGATACAGTTGGGTATCTGAAATTCATCCAATTTGTGTGTTACATATTGATACATTTAGAGGAGTAAAGGCAAAGATGTAGATCACACACAGCAACAGAGAGTCCTGAATGTCAGGCTAAGATGCCACTCAGGGAAGGTTTTTGAGAAGTGACATATCTTTAGACAGCTCCAACGGTGCCCCATCCTACAGACAGTCCAATATTTCTTTTTTCTTTCTTTTTTTTTTTTTTGTGGTACGCGGGCCTCTCACTGTTGTGGCCTCTCCCATTGCGGAGCACAGGCTCCAGACGCGCAGGCTCAGCGGCCATGGCTCCCGGGCCCAGCCGCTCCGCGGCATGTGGGAATCTTCCCAGACCGGGGCACGAACCCGTGTCCCCTGCATCGGCAGGCGGACTCTCAACCACTGCGCCACCAGGGAAGCCCAGACAGTCCAATATTTACAAGATAAAATAGCGCCAACTAAATATGAATCATGTTCACGGTAAGAAAGGTTACATACACTGACCTCTGATGTCAGGTGTGGAAACTGACTACCTGGAGGGGATTATCTAAAGCGGTTAAGGGGTGAATTAGCTCCCTAACGGGTGGGGGAGGGAGAGAGGGGCCGAAGGACCCAAATCTTATGAGAATGATCACGTTTAGGAATGGAACGAGAAAAGTTTTCAGAAAGGTAAGGGGTAAAATACCAAAGCTGCAGAGAGGAAAATGGGTCATGAGAAAAATCCAAATGATTAAGAAGAGAGGAGGACTTCCCTGGTGGTGCAGTCGTTAAGAATCCTCCTGCCAATGCAGGGGACACAGGTTCAAGCCCTGGTCCGGGAAGATCCCACATGCTGTGGAGCAACTAAGCCCCTGCGCCACAACTACTGAGTGCACTCTAGAGCCCGTGAGCCACAACTACTGAGCCCGCACGCCTAGAGCCCGTGCTCTGCAACAGGAGAAGCCCCTGCTCGCCGCAACTAGAGAAAGCCTGCATACAGCAGTGAAGTCCCAATACAGCCACACAAAAAAAAAAAAAAAAAAGAGGAGAGAGGAGGGGAAACAAACAGCAGGACTCCTAAAGGAGTCCACAGAAACAGATAAAGGCTTCTGACATGGGGATACCTTTGAGTATGGGGGTGGTGGGTAACCAGGAGGAGAAGGAAGACCAACAGTGCTAGGAGGAAGGATAAATAAAGAACAAGATCATGTTGGTGGGGGGACTGGGTCCGAGAAATAAGATCTCTTATTTCCTGTAGGAAGAAACAAAGAAAAGATTGGTGGGGGTTGGGGGGGGGCAGATATATATAAAGGTAGGAAGCTGGGGTGAGCTCAGGTCTGATAGTCATGATCTTCTCAGATTACTAAGGAAGTGATAGCCAACACTAATGTTTCAGAAATCTAGAGCCCCCTAAGCTAGAGCTTGCTGTTCAAAGATAAAAACGTAGGTTAGGTTCCTTTTGTAACTGGGACTATAACAGATATGTACTAAAACAGGAATAGTGTTAAATAGAGGCATAATGAATACAAGAACTATAGAAATATGCTCTGCACAGAAATATCTGTGGGTTGCAGACACTGTTAAGTGATTCTTATGTCAAAGTAAGACAGTCTCATAATAGAATTTTATCTGGTTAAAAATGAAATACATGTTTTCTTGAATTACGTTTCTTTGGCTATGTCTGGTTACGTAAATTAGATATTAATTTGCAAAGCACCTGAGACCTAAGTAAGTTAATTAGAGTAGATTTATTTTCACTTTATCTCAACAAAAAGTACCAAACAATACCCTAAGAGACCAGGGAAGAATGAGAAGACGAAGAAAAGGAAAAACTACTGTTCAACAAATAGGCCCAGATGCTCCCATCCTGTCTCATACTTTCCTATTTAAGAGTGAAGACCTATGCATTCTGGGCTCTCATAAATTATTTCTACTGCCATCTCCTGCAAATGTACTCAGAGGGGCTATACACTTTGCAGAGGCTCATGTTCTGAGCTGCTACGCAGATGAACGAGTCAAGCTAAAAACTGGGGAAATACCAATGCCTGCCATTTGTTAAGAAGAGTAGGCCTATTTTCATGGACTTTGAACTCCTCTCCTTTCTGGTGGAACTTTATGTATCTAGACTTTTCACTTTGAAAGTTCTCAAACATACATAGAGGTAAAAGGACAACGTGGTGAATGCTGGTAACCCTGTGTGTAGCTTTAGCTGTTCTTTCACAACCACATTTTCATTTTAATGAAATTCGTGTCCCATTAGCCTGTAAACTGAGAATGGGAAAACAGGATCCTAAATCTTAAAGGATGAGCTAACTAGTGCTACTACCATTTGCACATTTCTAAACTTTAACAGCACATTTTAAGTTTTAATAGAAAAATCCATAGCACCAGGGCACTGGAGCCAGGTATCTGCAGTAGAAATGTGCCTTAGATGTAAACTTCCCAAAATGTAAGCAAATCAGTATGGGACCAAGAAAAGAAGCCAGTTGGGTAATTTTTATTCAACAGGTAAAATGATATAATAAAACAAAGTCCAAAGATGAATTTGGTAACTATTTCCCAACTCCCAAAGTTAATTGCTGTCCTGAAGGGCCAGGATGATTCCATTTATAAACCAATGTGAGACTATGCCTTTCAATTAATACTTTACTCTCCAGTCCAATTTTCTAATTTTCTAAGACAAGAGGAAGCAAATGAAAGCAAAGGTTCTTTCATATAGGGGGGTCACAGGGATTTCTGGCAGGGTTATGTCTACTTACCACCCAACTAATAAGTCACCCATTTCCTCATCTTTCCTTTTTTGCTTTCTCTCTCTTCTTTCTTGCTGAAACCTCCAGCTTTCTAAAGGTGTCTCTGACCCTTGAACCTACAGAGGCTAGTAGCTCTGTTCCGGCCCACAGCTGTCTCTTTTTAGGCCTGAGAAAAATTACAAGTAACTAAGAAGGGCTTTTAATGATCAAAACCTAACAGACTTAAGTTCTTCTGTCTCCAGGCTAAGCTACTTGCCTTACCTTTAATTTTCTGCTTGTATTCTTCTGGTCGATGGAGGTACATAGCTGCAGCGTCACCATTGAGAGGATCTATGGGGTTGGGATAGGCCAACAACTGGGGCAGGAAGGACTCAAATATATTGGTAAGATCTGAAAAACAAGCAAGAAATATATCATGCACGGAACAAGCAAGTTCACCTAAAATTCACTTGAATTCAGTAGTCAACATATTTAACTACACTGATATTTTTTCATAAAACAGTGGTCCATTACATGTGACTTATATATTCCTTTCAATACCAATTTTTAAATTTAATTTTAATTTGAAGAACCAGGCACACTTGGTATTCTCTTTGAAAGGCAACTGTCCCAATTCGAATTCACTCCACTCTGTAAACTGAGATTTTAGAAATACTACATGGTTTATTAAAACTTGTACCCCAATACTGTACAGCACTCTACATTCTTACAAAGCAAGAAGTTAATTTCTTAACATCGCCATTTTCTACAGCTTTGAAAATCCCCACTCTGAAAGTATTCAAGCACCAGATCTTAAAAGAACTGAATATAATTATATAAGCCTTGACATTTAATTCAATTCTCCTAACTTCTAATGGAGGTAAATATAACCAGTTTTTCAATTATTCTCGGTAATGAGGTAGGAACCTATATGAACCACTTAAAATCATAAACAATCATAAGACAGATAAGTACCAATTTACTGCTTTTATTAATAATCATTTTAATAAACATTAACAACTCCCTTCTTACTAGATTCAGCACAAGGTGCTGGGTGTACGTCTACATACACAGCAAAAACAACAAAAACCCTGCAGTTACCTAGTGTTTTATAAAGGAAGTAGGGCTTGAAAACCTGTAAAATAAACCACACATCCACATAACTTCAGAGATGCTCTAACTCCATTCTATTTGCTGCTCAGTTAGCAGACAGTGAACTGTGGAACCTTAGCGCTTCCATCTCTCTGCCCACTCTAGTTACTCATCGTGTTTTATAAAAAACATTTCTGTTTCAAGAGGGAATGCTGAAGTATAGTAGCAAAGAAACTACTCTTCAATTTATTCTGCTTTTTTAATGGATTCTGTTTTAGAGTGAGCACTCTCATGCAGTATTGTAAGTGAATGTTTTGTCAAGCCATGTCACTTTAGATTAATGATTCTCAGCCAGGGGTGATGTTGCTTCCCAGCGGCCACTTGGCAATGTGTAGAGAAATTTCTGGTTGTCACAACCGGGTGGGGGAAGGTGTAGGGGTGCCACTAGCATCTAGTGGACAGAGGCCAGGGATGCTGCTAAACATCCTACAATACAATGCACAGGATAGCCCTTCACAACAAATAATTATCTGGGACCAAAATGTCAATAGTGCTGAGGTTGAGAAACCCTGGTCTAGATAAAAGGGGTCAGCAAACTTTTTCGTAAAGGGCCAGAGTAAATACTAATTTAGGCTTGGTGGGCCACATTTGGTCTGTCACAGCTACTCAACATTCAGCCCTGCCACTAGCACAAAAGCAGCCATAGATAACAGATAAACAGATGGGTGTGGCTGTGTTCCAATAAAACTATATACAAAATCAGGCAGCCAACGTTTGCTGACCTCTGCTCTAGAAAATCCTATGAGAAGCAGATCATCCTTGTCACTATAAGGTAAAAAAACTGAGCAGTCAAAAAAAACCTAGAGCTGCACTATTCAATAGAACTTTCTGCAATGATGATAATGATCTGTATCTGCTACCAATATGGTAGCCATGTGGCTACTGAGCACGTGAAATATAGCTGGTTTGACTGTGAGGACTAAATCTTTCATCTTTAATTCTAATTAATTTAAATTTAAATAACTACATGTGGCTAGTAGATCCCATATTGGACCACTCAGGTCTACAGAGTGATATATGGACTGTGCTGGCTGTACTTCATGACAGCCAGCACAGTCCTATCCTCATGCACCAGATACTAACACAGAGCAGGTTTACCTTCAACCCCAAGTTAGGGACTTGGTATTACTGATAAGGCCAACTTTCCAAAGAACCACATTAAAGTAAAAGTCCCACGTACCAGGAAACAAATGCAGAGATCCTTAATCAAAAAAGCAAAACAAAAATGATCTTGCAACATAACCCCAACCATCTGTGGCAGGATTTTCACTGCTGTTTTACATATATATATATTAAAGGAAGCAACATATTTAACAAACCAATAACTATTCATGGTATAAAATCATTGAAACTATTTGTAAAGGCTAAGGGACAGAGAAAAATGCTTATGTTCTAATGCTGAATAGAGAAAGTCTGTAAAATATTATGTTCTCTAGAATTACAATGATGTACACAGTATGAGGCATAAAAATATTTTAAAAGTTATGCATAAGAATATTTTAAAAGTTATGTTGGAATTCCCTGGTGATCCAGTGGTAAAGAATCTGCCTTCCAATGCAGGGAACACAGGTTCAATCCCTGGTCAGAGAACTAAGATCCCACATGCCGTGGGGCAACTAAGCCCATGCACTGCAACTATCGAGCTTGCATGCCTCCACGAGAGAGCCCGTGTGCTGCAAACTACAGAGCCCATGCGCTCTGGAGCCCACACGCCACACCTAGAGAGAGAAAACCCGCAGGCCACAACTAGAGAGAAGCTCGAGTGCCACAACGAAGAGACCACGCACTGTAATGAAGGATCTCACAGGCCTCAATGAAGATCCTGTGTGCCCCAGCTAAGACCTGACATAGCCCAAAAAAAAAAAAAAAAAAAAAAGGAAAATAATAAAAAATTAAAATAAAAATTAAAAAAAAGTTATGTCAAAGCAAAAGGCTTGTAATTTCTACTTTTCACACTTCAAATGACACTTTACTTTTTTTGCCTTTAAAAATAGCATTTGCATATAAATGTGTCCTTTCTACTTTTGCATATGTTTGAAACATTTAATAAAACATGGAAAGTCTGAAAAAAATTTTCCTCTCTTTATCCTTAAGTGGGTGGGTTATCAAGGCAATGGTAGAAAATTCTAAAAGGTAAGCAAATTAAGAAGAAAAAACAAGAGGTGTGAACCCCAAGTTTTACAAATTGAACATGATCCCAAAGCAGAGTTACAGTAACAGTAATAGTAATGGCAGCAAGAGTTTACACTTACATAGCCCTTACTACAAGCCAGGCCTTGTAAACACTTTACATATGCACTCTTTTTTTTTTTTTTTTTTTTTTTTTGCGGTACGCGGGCCTCTCACTGTTGTGGCCTCTCCCGTTGCGGAGCACAGGCTCCAGACGCGCAGGCCCAGCGGCCATGGCTCACAGGCCCAGCCGCTCCACAGCACGTGGGATCCTCCCAGACTAGGGCACGAACCCGTGCCCCCTGCATCGGCAGGCGGACTCCCAACCACTGCGCCACCAGGGAAGCCCCTATATACACTCTTAATTTCACTACAGCCAATGAGGTAGGTACCATTACTATCTCCATTTTGTATATGGGGAAAATGAGGCACAGAGAGGTTAGGTAACTTGTCCAAGGGGCTGGGTTTCAAACCTGGGCTTATGCACTACACTGCTTCTGTTAGTGGATAAAAGGAACACTGTCTCAACCATGATGGCAAAAGCTCCCCATATCTCTGCATCAAAACTGGATACCCTCAGAAATGGCCACCCTCCTCCCCAAAGTTTTTCTTTCTCACATGTTCAAGGCCAACAGGATGGTCTCTAAGCAGAGAATGTTCAGGAGTAAACTGGGGGCCTCTCCTGCCACATCAGCATTATTGGTGCTGCCCCCAAAAGATTAACAGCTGAATGTTCCTATCAAACAACAAAAAACTTGAAAAAAAAAATAAACTGCAGGTTTTAAGTTCAGAAGCACTTCAGGACTTGAGAAATACTGCAGACAACATGTCTCATAACTAGGTGTTTCATGTGTTCCAGGAAAAGATTTTATACCCCTCACCATTACTTTTAAGTTTTTCAAGCTACCAATAAGTGGCTTTGCCTATGTATTTGTTCCAAACAAATAAAAGAACCCTCAATTAAAAAAAAAAAAAAAAAAGAACCCTCAATTATTGGTTTCTCCTTCCTGTGTCTACTGTCTTCCTACATCAACATACTTTTGATCCATTTTACAGATGTGCTGAGTCACACCTCTAGAACAGAAAAGCAGGAAAGGAAAAGTACGCAGCCCAGTTTTGGGTAAAGATGACAGCTTTTGAAGGCCAGGATGTTGTTGCCATGGCCATTTTAAAGCAGTAAAGTATTCCTGAAAGTGGCTAACAGAATGACTACCATTGAGAGGTTCCTCCCCAAAGAAATATCTCTCAAACATGCAGATGTGCACAAAATCTTCTTTCAAGATAAATATTCTAGCAGAAGAGAAATAAACCATAAACCAAGAATGAAATAAAGATACTCATCTTTGGAAAAATCCATAATAATAAAATTTTTTCCCCCTAGAATTGTTAATAATATAAAACATCTATCAGTTCCAAAGACTTTTAAAAAAAACACTGACCTTCCACTTTTTGGAAGGGAGAGAACCAGACATGGATCACACAATCTAGAGATTACAGTCAGGTGCTCCCATTACTGGATACCTTAATTTTTTTTTTTTTTTTTGGTATGCGGGCCTCTCACTGTTGTGGCCTCTCCGGTTGCAGAGCACAGGCTCTGGACGCGCAGGCTCGGTGGCCATGGCTCACAGGCCCAGCAGCTCCGCGGCATGTGGGATCTTCCCGAACTGGGGCACGAACCCGTGTCCCCTGCATTGGCAGGCGGACTCTCAACCACTGCACCAACCAGGGAAACCCCGGATACCTTAATTTTTAAAGAAAGTCCCAAGAACCCTGATAAGTATGGTTTACCATGAGCAAACAGCTCTTACTTTTGCCTTGGACTAAATCAGCACTTACCAAAATGCAGGCCATTAGGACTGATTCTTCAACCTGATCTTACAGTATTAATGTTAACAATATTACAACACTCATAGTTCAGCTTAGGCATATAAACTAATGATTTATATCCATATTTAATTTTTAAAAACACTCAAATTATACTTATCTCTCATCAAAAGCAGCATCTACCCCACTCAGTCTAGAGCAATGGTTCTTGGGCAAGTCTAGGTCCTGGCTGTTCGTCCATTAAAATTACCCACAGGGTTTTTTTT